ACAGATATTCCTTGATGTGCAGACAATAGTTTTCTCAGAACAAAAAATGTTACTTTCAAACATACTTACATTCCATATAATTAGAGAACCATATTGTCACTGGGTCTGACATAACAAAACCTCTCTTGCAATCACCACCATTTAATCCCACTTTAAAAAGAAACTTAAAGTACATGGCTTTTGAAATGAGAGTTGTGGGTCAAATAATGATTTACAGGGACCATGCATTAAACCTAAACAATGTTATGAGTAAAACGTAGTGCAGACTTTGTACAACAATATATATTTAAATACCTTTATAAGACATTTAGTTAAAATGACCAAAAGAAATAAAATACAATGTACAGTACTCTTGCAATCATGTAAAGGTCTCTGTAAATCCTTGGAGTGCATACACTTTGTAATACATATGTTCAGTCAATACAAAATATCCAAAATTTAACTGTGATACCTTTATTTCCTCATGAAATAAAAAAAAATGAAAAAAAAAACACGATTGTGAACAACTCATTTGGACGGCGGCCATTTTGCTGTCTGCTTCAGACATGTCCAAATTTAATTTTTAGTGAAGGTATCGGTCATCCTGGTCATCATATCTCACATCAGGGACTTTTTGTTCCAAACGGAAATATAAACCTTCATCCAGGGTATCAATTATTATACACTTAGAATTAAAAAGTTCTTTTTAGTTTAGTTCACCATCACTATCTCATAACATCGCTGTTTTGACAGTGAGGAAAAAAACCCTGAACTTGAAACCGTGGGAATGAGCAACCGTTTTACACATAAACAGTACGTATGCGGGATGGTGCCGCGCCGGCCGCCGGCGCGGCCGCCGACCCGAGTACATGCCCATGATCATGATGATGGCGGCACGGAGCCACGGACCTTGTTTAGCGTAAAAAGTCCGATAAATATCTTACCTGTCCTGTCACTATTCTTGTGTTGTTTTGACCAATTAATTTGAAAGTTGCCACATCCGAAACCCATCCATTGACGAACTGGTTGTACGCCTCTGACGATTTATAGTTACGGAAATTTTCCGATGTGTACGGGCTCGGGGAATAAGGTACGCCATCACGTCCACTGAATTGAGTTCGGGCAGGTCTGCAAGTTGGGAGCATTTTTCACATTTTGGAATGACATAAGGGTCAATACCAACAAGGCTTGCTTTCTTTATGTATCTTGCTTTCTCTGAAGGTGGTAGGCAGTCAGCATATGTTGACAATTTAATCGAAGTCTTCAGTTGTTCTGCCATTATGTGTAACAAGGCGTAACCTTTACATTAGTTTCAAGCCATGCGACCGCGCGGTGGCGGATCGTTGTCCCACAACATGGCGGCGGTGTTTAATTTACTGCGCAATAGTCGTAGCCTTGTTGCCATTTTGTGATTGGACAATGAACGACGTTCATTTGATGGTGTCTTCGTATCTCCAGTGCAAGTAGCTGCAAGAGCTGTCGCAAGTAGTGCTGCTTACGCACCTGGGATCCGTCCGCACTCAGTATACAATACCAATACGTTCAGAATCATTTTAGTGACGGTCTGTTTTCATAAATGAACATCATGTAAAGAAAATACATTTTCAATTTCCCAAATGATCTATGATTACATCGTGAGATCGTTTAGACACACCCCCATAAATGCATGAAAGTGAATACGTAATTCTGCCGGTCGCATTATCAGTCCTTTTTAGATAGGTATATTTTTAAAATTAAAACAATGATTGAAGAGAAAAGCAGGGATCAATTTAACACGCATAATATGTACATAAAATTAATAAATTTACATTCATAAAATAATTTTTGAAAGAAAGCATGAATATATATGAATAATATAAGTTTCTTTTTAAAGAGAGAAGTAATTCTTCCATTCCCAAAGTTTATGCACAAAATTAATGTCCGACGAATCATTGCAGATAGCTTGCAATGTTCATTTAAATATCGAGATATATACATAGTAGGGTTTTGTGAAATGATTTTTCTTTTCCCCCTTTCTGTATCATTATGTGAACGAAATGTGTCACAAAAAAACCTGCAGAATCGGGCCCGCTTGTACGATGAACATGTACATGTGGCGCCCGTACGTGTACAGACCCGTACATGGTACCGTACGTACTTGCGTACCGGTACATGTACTTCAACGTCGTTAATTGACCAATCACAAAATGGCAACAAGGCTACGACTATTGCGCAGTTTTAATTTGACCTTTTGACCCCGCGTGCAAGCGCCCTATACATGTACAACGCCACGTTCAAGGGTCTAATTTTTATCTGAAGGAGGAAGCTGAAATTTCGCTTACATATTTTTTGTGTCCAGAATTGTACCCTGCACTGGATTTAGGAACCGCAAAATCGCGGGCAGCTTGTTTACCGAAAATATACCGCAATTCCACGCTTTCGTTGAAAACATTTTCTGTACGAACTCCCCGTGTGAAGATTGCGCGCGCGTGCATGCACACCTAGCACGCTACCGCCATGGCCGAGGACGACAGCAAATGGCACGCGCGTGTACGTCTTCACGCGGAGAGTTCGTACTGAAAATGTTTTCAACCAAAGCGTAGAACTTGCGGTTTGTTTTAGGCAAACACGCCGCCCATGGTCATATTTAATTGCCTCTTCTAAACCCAGCGCAGGCACAATTCTGAACACAAGGAATATGTAAACTCCACCATTGTCCATCAGGTAAATATATGAAAAAAATGGTTTCGACTTTTTTTCGCTATGGCAGCAGACGTTCATATCCTGGACTCTGTTGCATACACAACGGAGTCCAACCAACCGGGGCCTTTAGGATAGGGAAAGAATTCGTCCAGATAAAAAAAACCCAGCACTGCCTAGTCATGCTAGTGTAACAGTCAGATCTTCACTGTTCGGCCTAAGTAGCCTACATTTACATGTGTATATGACATAACCATGTACTTACATTGTACTTTGTTTGCAGCATATATTCAACCCAAGTCCAGTCCTTCTGATTTGAAAATCACAGGCATGTGAAAAAAGGCACACCTGGATTTTTCTAGGTGAGTGTTTTTTTCTTTGTGTTCGGTTTCTAGGTGTGTGATCTGTGGTCTAGGGAAATTCAGGCATGCAATTATGTACACTTCTCAGGAAGCTTTTAGGTGTACGATGGTGTGGGGGCCTGGCCTAGTAGTACAAGGCCTATTACAGTCGTTTTCTTGGTTCCAGATATTTCCTAGTTCCGGATCGCTTCAAGTAAAAACCTACTTGTTTCTGACGCAGTGCATTTTGAAAAGGAAAATATTGTAAGCTTCTTGATACGCAAAGATCTTTTTGACAAAATCTATAGAAGAGGAATTTTGGCCACATTTCTGACTTGACACTTTGACATGTTTGGACGGTTTGTAGAAAATCCTGGGAGCTGCGAATCAACAATAAATTTTCTCCGTAGTTGGCCTACATGTACATCACTCGTACTGTGTGGTTTCAAAATTTTTGTTCATACATCACAGTCATATAAACTCTTCTATCGACTGTTCCTTGAATCAAAATAAATTTTAGAGTTGCTAATATTTGAAATTTGTCAAAGAATGACCGTATGTTTTTGCCTACTTTTGGATCGCGCGTGCACTTATTAACCAACTACACGTGCAATTTTGTGTGACATATTCTGTGCTGGGCCAAAGATTTTCGGTCCATGCGTTGCGTTCGGTCCATGAGTTCGTGCCGTTGGCGCTAGCGCTGCAGACAAAAGTTTCAAAAATGAAAATCATTTACGTTTTTTTTTCTCTTTTTAAAATTTGCTGGAATTCTGGTGAATGAACTATTTTTGGAAAATTAAATAATACTTTCTCAGAAAATGTGCTTGATTTGGAGTGGTTCTCGCTAAAAAAAACAAATCGATTTTCTCACCTTATATAATTTTTGAAAATCACAGGTGGTCAAATATGTCAAATAACAAAGCTCAGTTTTGTGTGCAAGATGTTGCGGGGGGTATTAATAATACAGTACATGTAACAGTACATGTAACAATGAGCTCTTAGCACGCTTCCACCTTAAGCATGCAGGGCCTCGATCGGGCAACTTTACAAAATAAATATAGCCTGTTCAGAAATTTTTCATGTCAGGGTTCAGTGATTCCTATGTATACATGGAAATCATTAAACAGGCCATTTTTCTTGTCTAAAGTTGCCAGATCAAGGCTTTGCATGCTTATGGTGGAGCGTGCAAAGAGCGAATGAAGGCGTGAAAACTAACAAAAGTAAAAAAAATGCTCTGTTGTCATCCAAACCTTATTTTAGTAAATGTTTTAATAATGTTGTGGTTTTATTTCACTTTCAGAGTATCAGACCTGTCAGCGGTAAGGTAAGCTCCTCATATAATTATTTTCTATTTTCCTTTTTCTAATCACTGGGTGATGTGAACAAACCAAGCTACATTATGTAGTTTAAAGGCTTATTTTTGGTGAACAGACAAATTTTAAATTTTAGCGGCATCCGACCAGCTGTTTTTTGCTACAGCTTGCTTTTTTTCCCTACTATTTTGCCCAAAATCAAATGATTGTGGGCACCAATATTGTGGGCACCAATATTCAATATTCATTCTTTTGGAAGGTAATGTCATAAATAATTATGGTATTATTTGTACAACATGTCTGAGCAATCTGACTGATATTGACCTTTACTTTGAACTCGAATTTGACCTTGTGAATCGTGTAACGTTGACTTGGTCCTGGGCAAAAATCATACCCAATATGTGACCAGCTCTGGCAAAAAAGTAGGCAAGAAAGTAAAGTATTGTTGGGAAAGAAGTATTGTAAAAAAAAAAAAAAATTAAAAGCCATCCCCCCCCCTCTCTTTCCAGGTTGTACATGTAGCACCAAACCAACTTCTATTTGACGTCTTTTTCACTCAAAATAACCCTATCCTATTGTGTGCTTTGACATGGCCCTACATGTATGTCTAAACAATCCGTAAACTTACATTTCTGTCTGTCTACAGATGTTCCAAGTGCCAAGTTTGTCATAATGAATCAACGTCACTGAAAGCATATGTCAGGCACTATCGTTTTCATGCGCATGTTGGCAATGTGACATTTCCATGGGGGTAGCAAAGTGTACCCGTATATTCAAAACCTACAATGCATTCAGTATTCATGTGACTAGGGAACATAGGCAACAACGTTTGGATGCACGAAAAGCACGCTTGAAAACAAGGGCATGTTCATGTAATTCTGGTGCTTGTAAACTAAATTTAAGTTGTCAGCTTTAGTCTTGCCTCCAAACATTCCCAGACCAAGCATCACTTTTGCTTCATCTGAAGGCACACATCGATAATGGATTCACAGTCTCTTGCCCATTTGTCCTCTGTGACAAAACATACAATGTTAAATCATTATTTACTTATCTTCTATCAAGATGCCACCCAATCATGCATATGTTACTCTTCTGGTAGTGCAAATACTGAAACATCTGATCTGGAACATTCAAAAACTCCATGTACAGGCTCAACTTCTCCTGAGAGTTACGATGAGGAGGAGATAATACATACTGGTACATGTACTGGAGATGAATTTGACGCACCTGATAATGATGATGATGAAGAAGAGAAGGATAACATTGAACAGCTTTATCTGCACAATTTGGCATTATTTTATTTGCGCCTTCAAACAAAATACCATGTCCCCGCTTCTACTATTCAAATTGTAATCGATGAACTCAATAGCATAAACAAAATTCACGTTCATCGTAGACAGTTCATGAAAAGCAAGTTAGCCAGTGTAGGCTTAGACAGTGACCTAATTTCACAGATACTGTCAGATGTAGAAAGCCAGGATTTATTTTCAGTCGCACACCAAAAGACAACAGGTCCTCTTCGTTCTGATTTTTCACGAAAGGAATTCTACAAAAGCAACATGTCATTCATAGAGCCAGTTGCAATACGGCTTGGTATTGATGAAAACAGTAAGCTTCACCACTACCACTATGTTCCCATCAAAAAGTCTATAGAGACACTCTTCAAAGATGATGAGGTGCAAGAGCAGTATCACAATCCTTTGACTGGGAGAGAAAATGTGTACTCTGATTTTACTGACGGAACAGCATACAAAAATAATGAACTGTTCTCACGTGTGCAAGGCTCTGTTAAGTTAATCCTGTATCAAGATTCTTTTGAGATCGTCAATCCTCTGGGCTCCGCTAAAAAGAAGCACAAAATATTGGCGGTATACTATTCACTTGGAAACTTGCATCCATACAATAGATCCAAAATAGACCCCATCCAGCTTGTAAGTTTGTGCAAGGAATCTGATGTGCAGTATTTTGGCCAAGAACGTTTCTTCTCTAGACTGGTAGCGGATCTGAAGGACATTGAAGACACTGGCTTGCACATTGGATTTGGTGCAAAAGTGAAAGGATCTGTTGTAGCCTTTTTAGGTGATAACCTAGGAAGCCATTTTCTAGGTGGCTTCTTGGAGAATTTCAGTGTGGAGTTGGACGATAAAGCAATAGCTTGCCATGTGGAGTTGTACAGAGAGAGTGTACAGCAAGCAGTTTCTTCAATCCCACAGCTGCTGTCAGGAAGCTTTGTTAGTAACAGCTGTGTGGTATGTGGCACCCAGTATTCCAGGGGGATGCATGTCATCTTAGAAAAAGTAGACGGGAATCTTATTGTTGGAGAAGTTGAAATGATTATAGTTTCTTCGTGCAACACCCCCTTCATAGTCGTAAAACTCGGCAAGTGTGAATATGTTGCAAACATTGGGCTGCATAAACTCCTACCAATGGACGATGAACTTGTGAAGTGCGTGAGAATAGACAAACTTTTAGATTACAACCCACTTCATGCAAACAACATCAAAGGAGGAGATACAATAATAGCATTGAAGCATTCAGTAGTTGGTGGACTTTAAACTACATGTAGTTCACTTGACAACATCTCACTGGAGAATGTGCAACGTACAAGTTCATCTAGTAACGTCTAGATCCCTTATACACACATTGTAGATCAAGTAAGTTATAGCTTCTGGTGTGACAGGTTGTTGATTCTTTTGGTTGGCGTTCTTTTGTTGGCGTTCTTTTGTTGGCATTCTTTTGTTGCATTCTTTTTTTGGTAAATTCCTGTTACAATTTTCGAGTTGCTTTTTTGGAGTAAAGGTACAGGTTGAGATGTGTAAGCTTAACCCTAACCCAGCTGAATCCAACATAACCAACCAGTTGACATTTCAGATACAACCTGTTGGATTTAGCAATCACATTCTGTAGGGTTACTGGTAAATAATGCCAAGTCGAACTCTGTTGGATCCAACGAAAAAAAAATTAATAGAAAATAAGACACAGTTGGATCCTATTGGATTGAGCAGGCAAGTCCTGGGGAACCAAAGGGGGTTAGGATTAAAGGTGGAATATCTAAAAAGTAACCAACCAAAATACTGTTAAAAAGCTTACTTGCTGCCATTTTGAAGAACATTATAAAAGAATGTAATGTTCAAAGGGGCATCTCAGAGACGCACATTTGGACATTTCTGCAAATAGTGCGCGCAAGTGATACATGTATTACCTTATTTTGGTGATGTTTCTTTTGGGTCAATATCAGACTTACAGATTTTCCACAGTGTCAGTTGAAACGTTGTAACTTATATGACCATACAGATCATGTACGTAACATGCAGTGTAAAAGAATTGTTGCATACATATCCAACATACAATCAGTTACCACCATGTTAGAAATTGGGTGTGTTGAGTGCTCTAGACAAATGTGATGTGATCTGGGAAAATTAACGTTCACATCGTGAAATTTGTTTTTCTAAAGTTATAGAAAACGTACAATCACAATAAAACAGTTTTGAATACAATGAAGTGTTATTGTTTATTTGATGTATAATCACCACCATGACAAATTTCACCGAGTGAAGAGTTTTCCCAGTGCAAAACCTGTGCTGTGACAGAAGAATACTTTTGAACACGTCTCCATCATGCTGCATTTGCAGAATACAAAGGCCCTCAGTTGACTTCCATTTCATCATCATCAGACATTCAGAATACATACATTTCATTACATTTTTTTATTTTTTAATTGCAGCTGGATACAATGGAAAAAGGCCAGAATACATTCTTCTCATTGGAATACGGCATTCGAGAGGCCCTACCATCCATATCTGATGGCCACTTAGAGAATCTATATTGTCAGTGCTGAATGCACTTGGAGTAGAGAGTGAGGACGATTTGCAGTTTGTTGAAGTCTCCGACCTAAACGACCTCCCTCTTGTCAAGGCTAGAAAAGTCGTCCAGTATTGGAAGAGTAAAGGTACATGTATGCATTTGCCAGTATTTTAAATTTAACACACACACCAACTGCTAAACATTTTCAAACTCACTGATAAACAATAGTATAGAAAATCTCACTGAAAATGTTATTCATTCTTTAAACTTTACTCTTCCCAAGTGCAATCTGAAAATCCCAGAGGAGACATTGTGATGTTGCAGGTACTAAGCTGGTCAGAGTTGTATTCAAGTCCAGCAAGTCCATCACAAGTCTTTAGTCTCAATTCAAGTCACTAGCTATTTAAATGAAGTGCATTCCTTTGTCATTGTTTAATCACTTGCGGCTGGCTTTGTGAAAGGACTTGCAGGGACTCAAATAAGCCTGCACTTCAAAATCTCACTGTTTATACTGGTCATGTACTCATCTAATATGTTCATATTAGTCTTCCAGGTTTGGTTTGTTGTGGGAAAATAATCCATTTATAAAGCTTGAACAGCTATACAGTACATGTAATCTTAGTTTTGTTGTAGCTTATCTCCAAACAGACTTGATCAGTCTGGATTGGTCTGTATTATGGTCATATTCACTGTCCTTGATGAGTTGAATACGCTTTAATGATGCATTTAATATATGGAGGCATACATTCCACAGGGGTGTGAAATCTTGGCTTTTAAGCTGATTTCAGCTTTTTGTTTATAATTGTTTTGGGTTTCAGCCTTTTCTCTTACTTGCTGTGTACAAAAGTATAAGAGATTTCCAAAGTTCAGCTTCTTTACACCTTTTTTCAGCTATTTTCAGGTGTTGTCAGCTTTTTTTTATCAGTGGACACTCACACCCCTGATTCCAACCAAAAACATGGTGACTTTTCAGTGTTATACACTGGTTGGATGATTTTCATAATTGCACACAGTGAATGAGATGAGAATCTTGTTTGCTTGAAGATTAATTTAGAATTACACTCAAGGGTCCTGTGGTTTTAGGATAATTAACAATATACATGCAGGTCAGGTAATATACATGCAGGTCAGGTAATTCTAAACACACTATTTTTGTGGTTGGTATAGATGTTTCTGTCTCTGATGAGCACCGTGAAAGCCACACAGATCAAGGACATGGGCCTGCAGCTTCAGCTTCACAACCACAGAGACAGGGGACTTCAACTTCTGCATTAGAGGATGGAGACGGCAAACGTTTAGTAAACGTTAGTTTGCCAGATATGCAGTGTCAGGTCAACTCGCCCCCTGGCCGACTCGCCCCCTGGCCGACTCGCCCCCTGGCCGACTCGCCCCCTGGCCGACTCGCCCCCTGGCCGATCTCGCCCCCTGGCCGATCTCGCCCCCTGGCCGATCTCGCCCCCTGGCCGATCTCGCCCCCTGGCCGATCTCGCCCCCTGGCCGATCTCGCCCCCTGGCCGATCTCGCCCCCTGGCCGATCTCGCCCCCTGGCCGATCTCGCCCCCTGGCCGATCTCGCCCCCTGGCCGATCTCGCCCCCTGGCCGATCTCGCCCCCTGGCCGATCTCGCCCCCTGGCCGATCTCGCCCCCTGGCCGATCTCGCCCCCTGGCCGATCTCGCCCCCTGGCCGATCTCGCCCCCTGGCCGATCTCGCCCCCTGGCCGATCTCGCCCCCTGGCCGATCTCGCCCCCTGGCCGATCTCGCCCCCTGGCCGATCTCGCCCCCTGGCCGATCTCGCCCCCTGGCCGATCTCGCCCCCTGGCCGATCTCGCCCCCTGGCCGATCTCGCCCCCTGGCCGATCTCGCCCCCTGGCCGATCTCGCCCCCTGGCCGATCTCGCCCCCTGGCCGATCTCGCCCCCTGGCCGATCTCGCCCCCTGGCCGATCTCGCCCCCTGGCCGATCTCGCCCCCTGGCCGATCTCGCCCCCGGGGATCTGTATCTTGTTTTTTTTCTGGGTGTTGCGCATGCGCAATGACAATGTGTAATTTGAGAAGCACGCACAGATTGCGTTTCCTTTGTGTCACGTCAGATGTTTCCTTTGTGTCAGATGTCGGCTATTGTAATGTATACGTGCAGCTCTCCTTTGCTAGCACGCACGTGTTTGTGCTAGTTGTCGACTTTTCTGCATCAGGCATTGTTGGAAGTGGTTCGTTCCCATGTGCATGAACGACTTTACCTTTGCGCCGCCTTTTGTTAAGGAAAGAAACATTGTATTGTTCTACGCTGAACAGCCGGATTGTGAGGTTGTTGACGACGAGAGACGGATTTAACGGCCGCACTGCACCAAATTCTTCGGCCAGAACATGGAAAAGATTCTGGAAGAATTTGGGTTAGGAGTAGTGAATGCTTTTCTGGCAAACAATGTAAGTGTTTTTGTTTATATTCTTATTTTGAAAGTTCAACACATTGTACGTAATCAAAGGGTCTTGGGCAGGCGCCGGGTTTTTTCTTGGGGGGGGGGGGCCCTCACAGTTTTGTCTAGCCTCCCACACACCCAAAACAAATGCAATGAAAAGTACATGCTGGCAAATAGATATACTGGATCTGCGAAAGTTCGAAGTTGACGTCACGTGCGAAGGGTCTAGCCACCCTAAAATATTGGCTCTAGAGCCGCGCCTGATGGTCTTGGCCTGTGGGCCCTTTACATGCAGGAATATTAGTAGCGTGGCCTGGCCAATTTAGTTTAGAGAAAACCAACCGACGCATTCCAAGTTTATTACTGTTTATTGTGAGCCCCAAAACCACAGGTAGGGGAGACTGGGGTTAGTTGGAACGATTTTCACAAAAATGCATATATTTTACAAACGCTTTTAACCAAGAAACTATAGCAGTTTAGGCATACACATATAGGCTGCAAATGAAGCCTTTAATTTTGTTAGACCGTTGATGGTTACTTGAATGATGTACTATGTCAAGGTATAAAGTAAGTTGGAACATGGTATGCGGTTACTTAGAAAGTATATTACAATGACTTTAACAACTACATTTAGTATTTGAGTTCAGGTGAAATATATTTTTCAAGCACTAGAGCCTATATGCCACGCACCCAGCATGTAAACCAAAAATAACCGAAAAAGATATGCAAGAAGCTTTACAGGTTGTAGTCCCGCCTTGCCAATTTCTTGGTTCACTTTGAAACTCTATGAAAGGGTTAAGATTTGTTTAACCGTTCAAAAAATGTGATATTACAAAAAAAGTGATTCCTTTTTCCTGTGCATTTTGGTTTCCTTTAAATACTTCACCATACATGTACGTATGTCTTTCTCTTAAATCAAATGAAAGTTATATTTTCTTTCAAAAATGACTATTTTTAGAGTCTTGCATCTTGGCTGCTGCTACATGTAACAGTTTGAACTTGTTTCCGAATGATAGCACATCTCGCACAGCCCGCTCCGTAACATCCGGTGGGGTCTTGCCACGTGCAGTTTTGCATTCATAGGCCCACAGCATCTTGATTGCTGAAGATGAACTAAAATAACAATGTATTAAAAGGTTTGTGGAAAACGAACGATTGAAGCACAGGAGTAGCCAAATAGCCATCTATGTTTTGCTTATTTAAATAATGTGACAACAGATCTAGGTCTACAGTTATTATTTGCAGTAGGCCTACAGCTAACTTTATGGTGCACAAACAGTTGGAAAATACTTTATTAGAACCTTCACCGAAAAAGCACTTTTTTTCATACATGAA